CATTTTTTGTTATTCTCCCTAATGCGCTTTTTTCTATAATTTTTTCCTCTCGGTTTTTAGCTCATGATTATTCCAAGGGACTTTTTGATCAGTATCTCTACATTTAGTGAGAGGAAAGCACATATCAAAGTAATACATAAAAATACTGTTGAAGATGTTAAATTTCAACTCAACTGGTGCAAAGTAGACCTCCTCCCAACTTTCCTGACTCAGCATATTTGAGAATTTTTTAAGATTTTGGTTAGAAAATATCCTTACTGTTTTAGTTATTGGTTTATTGTTCATATTTTTATTGGGCAAGTTGAAGGTTAATAATTGAGCATCGTGATCAGAAATTTGTGTGTTTAAACCACTAATTTGCATGTTGTTAGGATGAAAATTAATGAACACGTTATCAATAGCACTCTCAGTCTTTTCAGTTACTCTAGTTGGAAAATTTAGGTACTAAAAATTCAAAATTATGTGAGCCAAGAATATCATTAAGTAGTTTAAACTCATAACAGTTTGGGTTTAGAACATTTATGTTAACGTCTCCAGTCATAATTACATTAGTGTATGTTTTTGAGAGGATTCCCAGGGATGCATTTAGTTTTGCCAAAAAGATATTAACATCAGAGATAGGAGAGCGATAAATACCAGCTAGCACAAAAGAAAATGAATCACATTTAAATTCTATCAAACAGCATTCAAATTCCTTTTCAGATGTTAGGCTAACTGATTCATTGACGGTAAATTCAAACTTTTAATTTTGAAATTTTTAGCCTTTAAATTTGTTTTTGATAGTATTATGACTCCACCTCCAGCATTTAAACTACGTGAATAAAAAGTGTTAATATTATATCCGATCCGGTTATGGTGAGAAGCTCCAAATTCATGACTTTTCATTTTGTGTTCACATAGTACTATTATATCTGGGTCAATTTCTTGAATAGTAATTTCTAATGGTTCTATTCTGCTCGGTAGATGTTGAATATTAAGGTGAAAAATTTTTAAGATGTGTGATTTTTGTGATATTTTATCGTGTGCTGCTGGTTTACAATTTTTTACTTTATTGGTATATTTTTCGGAGTGTCGGAGTTTAAAGGTAGGCTGTGTTTATGGGCCGTGTGAGATTGAGGGATGTCTAGGAAGGCTATTTGGGATAATTTTTCCACTGAAACGACACCATCATCGATATCACACACTCTATTACTCTGCTATTTGGTTACACTTTTTGTCACTTCACTGTAACTCAGATGCCCCGGTGCTACTGGTGGGCTGGCAGGTGTAGCTGAAAGGTTGTGTGTTCTCGACATCTGTAGATTCTCATCCGTCCGAAGTGGAGACGGTGTTGAGGTTGAGTCAAGGTCAAGCTGCACATTGACGGTCGTTTGTGAAGATGAGGTGGATACCAAGTTAGTTATGATGGGACACTCTGCATCATACTCTGCTTCAATTTCAGCGTTTAAACGTAAAAGGAAATCTTGATGTGTTAATCCTCTCCATAGGGGTCTTTTAGCTGTTTTCTGTTCATAGGAAACAATGTGCACATCAGCTCCTGTGGATTTCTGGAATTTCACTATGTGTCTTGCAATTGTGTGTGGGTGAACAAGATCTCTTACACATCCAATTGCTGAACAGAATAAGGTCTTTAATCCCTGGGCTTTGAAGTGATCCTGGAGTTTCTTGAAAGCTATGCTATAGTCCTCTGGAGTCGGCTTGTCAAAATATGCTGCTTTTGTTATTTAACTATAAATTTTTGATCCACCTGTAATACTCTGACAAGCTAGATGTTTTGAAATGCGATCGGCAAGTAGGGGTCGTCCAAACTGTTACGGAAAACAACTGCCACTCCCGCCGACATATGTCTGTCTTCTGATGTGGAATGAGCGAAACCAACTGTTTGGTCAGTTCTGAACTGATCTATAACCTTATTCATATCAGTATTGCAAATTTTGATTTTACTGTTGAGTGTTTGTTGTGGAGATGGAACTGGCTTGGTTGTCTGCAATGTAATTTCTTCTATTAGATTGGCAATTTTCAGTTTACCATGTCTGTTCATGTGAAGCCCATGACTTGTAAAGCAGTGTTGTGGGAATAAGTGAACCGGCAGAAGTTTCAAGTTAAAATGTTTTGAAATGCTACTGCATACTGTTGGAATAGTAGTTTACGCAACGATTGCGTTAAGTGAGTCTTTACGACACGAGTAAAGGCTCGTGCCTTAAAAACTTCTACGAGTGTCGTAAAGACTATTAACGCGAGTTGCGTACACTACTTTACCTACGACCGTTTTTTAATTACTATCAATCTGGATTTAATTACTAACAATCACTAATGATAACTTTTTAGAGAGGTTATGTTTTCGTGTATTGTCATTGCCACTGAAAGTGATGCAACGACTTGTTGTATAAGGCCGGGCGCGCACTATCCCGACCACGACCAAACGCCCGACCAGTGGTTGTTATTCACCATGCGACCAGAGCACGACCCGACCAAGGCAACGAATGTTTTACAAACTTCAGTGTCAAGATGATTGTTGAAGAAGTAGTTTATGGTGCATTTGTATTGTAAGTACGTTAAGCGGAAGAAGACACTATACTGGGCATATCCAATGTTAACTGTTAGGTCTGAAAGGGCATTTTGCAACATTTTATGAAGAGCTACGTCAATATGAAGACAGGTTTCAAAAGTGTAAAAATCCTGCGACATTTTACCAAATGAGTCACTTCACAGACCGGCGCAAAAAACTAGTGCTCACCGTTTGATTAGTCTAGGAATACTGGGGGTTGAGTGGTGTACTGGTCGGGTCGGAGGCAAGTCGGGGGTAGTGCGCGTCGTCCCATTACATTGTGTGCTATTTTTGGCTGCAACGACCAGCGGGTCGGGCCCGACCAAACTGGAAAATTTTGGTCGTGCGACCAGGGCCCGACCAGGGTCCGACCAGTCGACCAGTGCGCGCTGTTCCATTTATTCCTACGAGAGGTCGTCCAGTGGTCGAAACTCGACCAAAAATATGTAATGTACTCACTTAACTATTTTCACCCCACACTGTAAATAAAACATGTGATTGGAGTTTCCTCCATTTGTTTTGATTTTCTGTTTATATTTCGTTGTTATTTCGTAACCAGCATAGCAACGCATAAGATCCATGTTAATTTTTTACAACTTTTAAACTTATTTTTTGTGCTTATCTTTGAGCCTATTTAAATTTGTAAAGGGATTCTGCACACCTACAGGAAAATAGCTTTCCAACGGTATGCGTAGATTTTCCCTACGATGCACACGAGCTGAGAAAAAAGGTTTTAAAGAAACATGCTTGCCTATTAATATATAGATAGATTATAAAACTGGTCGTATCCGACCAATCGGAGTCGTGGTCGTGGTCGTGGTCGGGATAGTGCGCGCCGGCCCTAATCAGCTGATTTCCTGTAATTACGTGTTTGTTAAATATTACATTGCTAGCAGCATTATTACCATAAATAATATTGTATCAGGTACAATTCGGCAAATATTTCATTTATTTTTGGACTTCCACCAACTTAATTAAGAATACGCGAGTATCAACATGAACAAGTCGGATCAACAATTAAATTGGTCAACTGATCCAGCTGATCAGCTGATTAGTTGACGTTCGAAGCATTACAATTTTAATTCTTTTCTCTCAATACTTGAACCTCATTGGTCCGTTACCTGTGTGGATATGAGAAAACTATGCGGATATGAAATGAAACTATGCGGATATGAAAGTAAACAGCTGTAAAGAGAAACTTTTCAATTCTAAGAACTGGGCTGAAATGGCTACTTTAAAAAACGGTCGTAGGTAAAGATATTTTCCTGTAGATGTGCAGAATCCCTTTATAAATTAAAATAGGCTCTAAAATAAGCACAAAGAATTAATTTAAAATTTTGAAAAAATTAACATGGATCTTATGGGTTGTCATGCTGGTGACGAAATAACAACGAAATATAAACAGAAAATCAAAACAAATGGAAGAAACTCCAATCACATGTTTTACTTACAGTGTGGGGTGAAAATAGAGAAGTCTGTACAATACATAATTTTGGTCGAGTTTCGACCACTGGACGACCTCTAGTATTAATAATTGTCTGCTCCTTACACATCTGTCTGCTGTGGGCTTGCTATGTCACAACAGTTTGTGATTGGGTGAATAGTCAATGGTGAATGGTAACCATGGTAACTTGTTGAATGTTAGGATGAGAACCCAAAGAAAGAATGTGAAGAACAAAGAGAAAGAATTACATCCATTGCTATCTGTATCTCATTTTATGACTGTTGTTATTATACTTAAGACTAAGTACTATGATTTTATGCTGTTTTAGCGAATTTCCCAACTTTAACCGACAAAATTTGTTATGCAAAACGGCTCTCCCTCCTTTATTTCAGTTAACCGGGGTTCTACTGTAAATCTGACAGTTTTCAGGAAATATTTTAGTAGAAATCCAGCCAGGTAAATGGAAATTTGCTTAGCTGGAGCAAGGGTATTTTTAATACTCAACAGTTTTTTATGGTTATTGTTGCTTGGTGCCAAAAATTAGCATGAGAGTCCATGTAATCTAACACCTCCACTCTCCAGTAATCTGACTGTTATAAGTCTCTATGCAAAATTTTCCTGTAATATTGTTTTCTAAGGTAGATACAGGCCTACTTTGAATTGTTTTTATCAAGGATCTGTTTACCTATGCTCACTCTCAATACTGTATAGACGGCCTTAACTCTCTCAGACTCTCCTTGGATAAAGTTGTCAACCATCATTTTAGATAATGTCACCAATTTAACTTTCACAAGAAGAAATGAAAAGTTCAATGGGTTAAGCGCAGTTTAAAGTCAACAATGTTGGCCATTTAAGATTTTTTTTTATATTTAATGCCAGAAAACCTGTATTTTTAGCTCTCGATGAATAAATCAAATAAATGACTTAAATTACTAACTTATTCTCATTTAAAAATAAATTATAAGGATAATAAACAAGGTCACTAATGCTGCAAAAATAAAATTCTGTTATAAACATTGTTTTATTGTAAAAAAACTAAAAAGTATGTACAATATATGATATTCAATGAAATCACACAAGTATATTTAAATTACTAATTAATAATAAATGCATAGGTATAACTAACAGTTTTTAATTTATTATATTCCTAGGTTAACTTAGTCTGGAAGTAAACACATTGAGTGGATTTCAGGTTAATGAAAATTGTAAACATGTTGAAAAAAAAATCATAAACTGCCAAGAAGACAATAAGATATAGTATGATAAAACGTGAACAAAATCGAGACAATGTTTTTACTTATCTGCAATTATTTAGTATTCATGTAGTATATTCAAGGAAGAATATTGATAATACACAGTTAATAATGCTGTCAAAATAGGATACTGTATAATTACATAGTCTAGGTGTTATTTGACTTATCTTGTATATTTATGCTGGTAGCATGGCAAAAGTACCGTACACAACTCATCCAGAATGGTGTTTATTGTACTCACATGAATCATGTGTTCCGTAAGCTTCGCAGGGAACTATAATACTTGCACAGCATGTTTTTTAAGTAAGTACCGTTTTTAAATTTCTCCGTTCCAGCGCTGGGATTGGCATTTTGGACATTTGAATGCTCTCAACCGGATGTAAATGCAGCTGATAGTTGCCGAATTTCCGGAACAGGCTTGCCAATAGATGTACATACACAGCACAAATGTCTAAAATGTCAATCGCAGCGCTGGAACGGAAAAAATGTAAAAACGGTACTTACTTAAAAACATGCCTCGTACTTCCTTATTAGTGGCTTAATGTACCAATTCATATTTAAAGATGATTAAAAATACCTCTACGACTAAAAATACCTCATTAAAGGCGAATGTGATTAATTCTCTTAGAGAATTCATATATACATTTCTTTTCTTCCAAAATGACTAGGGGACAACAGGGCTTTTTGTCTAAGGGAAACAACAAGCCAAAAGATTTTAACTTTAGATAGAAATTTGTATGTTTCTTCCGGCCTAAGTTCAGATAAAAAAGAACAGAAGGAGTCCTTGAACCAAAAGGAGGACAAGGTTTAATTTCCAAGTCTCTTACAATAAAATAAAGGGCATTACACCAAAACTTGCTGTTTAAAAAGCAATCATAAAACCTTAGGTCTTAAAGAAGATGTCCACATCAGGTACTTTACAATATCCATACCATATGTAACAGTAAGTATTGCCATTTTCAGACCTATTAAATTAGTATATAAAAGCTTACTCTAGAGAACTTCAGAAAATAGTGCAGTAGTGGTCTAATATGAGTAATTGTGCAATTGGCCCAAAAAACTTTACTTTTCAATCTGATAGTGACCATGGGTGATCCCTTAGGCAAGAGACATACATGACAGTCAAAGTGATGTTTTAAGGAACATTATTGGTAGCAATAGCAATGGGCCAAGCTACTGGGCCCTTAACTACGATGTCGCTGAGCTGTTTCTTGATGATGAGGAATTGTCTTTTGAACTCGAGGCCGCAACCCTTGCTGAGTCGGAAGTCCATCAGTGTCTGCTTGTCCATGATCAGCACACTGGCCTTGAACGTCAGCTGGTTTTTGTACTTATCTACAGCAGTCACTGTGATCTGCAATAAAAACATAATAAACATTGAATTTAGATAACAACACGACTTGGCTAAGCTTAGTGAGTCAGACAATTCAGTAACTGCAGGTCATGGTCAAGAAAATGCACTTCAGAAATGAGCAAGTTTTTGGAAGCTAACTCAACATTCTATGTAAGAAAGAATTTGCATTAAAGGAATACAAATTTTTTAATGAGATGTGGCAACCCTGCATAGTTGACAACAGCCATCAGCCATGACAGCAGCCATCTTGTAATTTATAAACTCTCTCTACACTTGACAAAGTCCCTTAGAGGACGAAATATTGTGTGCAAAATATTTTTCTACTTGTTCTATGGCCTACCCACACTTTCAAGGTAAGCTAGCTGCTATCCTCCTTTTTCTACCATTTAAAATCCTGGCCTAGAGCCTTTCCTTAAACAAAACTAACCTTAATGTAGCTTTAGCTGATATCACAACCCAAGTAAAAGTAGGTAGGGCCTATGAAGGGAGACACCATAGATCGGAGTAGTTTTGAGGAATCAGAACTTTGTTAGTTCAATCCTTGGACAGAAGAACAATAGCAGTGTAGAATGTAGAGTACTCACAATGCCAGGAGTATGAGTGCGCCAGGCAAGACCCATAACATCAAGTGTCCGCACCAAACTCCCTAGTGCTACCTCAGGCTCAGCACCTACAAAGAACCTGGTCATGCGGCGCACCAGCTTCTGCATGGAGTCCTAAATAAATTCAATAAATCAGTGATTGTTTTCTTAATGCTTTTTATACCTAGACTCTTTTCAGAAAACATTTAAGCCATCTTATGACATTTGCTTATCTATGAGGAATTTATAAAATATATAAAAACCTCAAATTAAACTTAAATTTCAGAAAAAAACTATTCAAACGTTTGTATACATTGATTAGTACATGACTATCTTTATGAATTAATTCCAACACTAATGTTTATTTTCAAAACACCAGAATAGTAGCAGTGATAATAATCTACCTTGATTGCTGCAAGAACCAATAATACACTAGTAATAATAATAGATTCTTGGGCCTAGGCTAATGGTCTATTTCATTCAGAATTAATTATTCAAAATTTCCCAATACCATTCAAAATTGACAAACAATTCTCGATTTCCTACCTGGCTGGTGTTGCTTTGAGTGGCCAGGTACTGTGTTGACACTAGCAGGTCGTCTATCTGCGCAGGCTGAGAGAAGCATATGTGTGCAGGCTCGTTGCCCCCCCTGGGTGCGTCAGTGACACAAGACAATACCTCAGGTTGTGACTGACACAGACGGGGATCACACATGGCAGGAGGAGACAGCTCGTTGGACCTCAGTCTCTTGTATGGCAACTGAGGCAACGTCTCAGCGGCTTGTGGCCCTGTAACAGTAGTTTTGGCTCAGTTCCATTTACATAGAGACATAGCGATACGTTTAATTATGCTTTTGGTTACTAAAATGTAAATTCAAACCACTAAGCCTATTCTTGACAGTTGGGTGACAAAATTATCAATGTCTTTTACACTACAGGTTCTATAAAAAAAACTAGCTTTCACCACAAGTCTACTTTGACATCACATTTTCATTGTATGGACTCAAGACTATTATAGTTGTTCCGGAAAAACAAATTCAAACATTTTTATTAATCCGTACTATCAATTGAAACCACTGTCTATTTTTATATAACAGTGTAACCCAATTATACCAGTCTTACATTACATTAGATATTTCATGATAAGGAATAACATTTAGAACACCTACAACTAGGATTGAGGAAAATCTAATAGCAGCTGCCAAGTGTACTATTTCATTTTGAACAGTGAGTTTTCAAACCATTACTTAAGTAACTATGTTTGCCAAATACATTAGTAACGAGTTCAATATAATTTCAAGGTGTCTTGTTTATTTCAATTTTAAAATTCAAGACTAATTCCAGACTTTTCAAGACTAATCCCAGATTTTTCAAGACTAGTTTTTTTCCACAAATAGTAGTACAAATAGTGTAGATTAAGATAATGGTTTTAAAGTAAAGACAAAATGCAGCAATGAACAAACCTAACCAGCCAATTAGGGTTTGTTTATCATGAAATCTTCCGAGGACATGTAGACATCATCATTGACTGCCGCGGTCACGGAAACGTCATTGCCGTTGTCCGGGATCGCGGCAAAACATGAAAACCCCCGACTTTGACATCAAAACTAAATCCCAAATTTTCAAGACCATTTTGAAATTCAATACTAGTTCCCGACTTTCCTGACTACTAGACACCCTGTAATTTATATTTTAGGACATAATACTCATTAGGCTTTTGCTATCTGTACATTTATTGCCAGGTCAAATTTAGAGCACACATTATTTGCAGAGCAGTATTTTGTCCTTGTGGAAGATTTCAGTCTTTCTTACGCATAATTAAGCAAAAAGGATTGAAATAAATATATAACTATCTAAATAGTAAATGGCCAAGGGGGCATCATCCGAGTGGACAATAAATAAATAGGCCTTAATTTAAATATTCATAGTTATTAAAATAAACTAAAAAAAAGTATTAAAATCTCAGAACTTATGACTTAATTGGATAACTGGAAGTAGAAATGCTACCATTAAAACAGCTGGTTTTACACAATCATCCTTTAAAATAGCCAAGGCCTGTTAGTACCAGGTAGATAGGATGTTCCAAGATGTACCTTGGTGTTCAATGAAGATGTACCTAAGGCTTTGCTTTGGTAATCTAGCTTTATGATAACATCTCTCATACAGCTATATCACCAAAGAATTGCCAGAGGTATGATGCATGAAGACTTGCACACTTCCAACTTGCAATCTGGATGTATACTTAGCACACACTTGTACTCTGTGTAAGTTAACATTCATTACCATGTTTTTCAATAACATAAAATTACTCTTACAATACAAATAGTAAATTAAAAGAAACGTCTTGTAACACTTAAAACATATATTTACGCTTATACTGTTACTCACAACACGGTAAATATACAAAAAAGATAATAATAAGTGATCAATTTTGATTACAGTAAAAATGTTTTAACTAATATAAATACCTTAACATAGGTAAAACATTAAAAATGTCCTACATAAGCAAGAGAAGGGAGTTTTATCAATAACATCAGAACAGCATTGACCAAAGATCCAAATATAAAAATACTCCCAAATCTGTATGCATTTCCTTTAAAATTGTATAATGTTATCACACTCTTACAAAGTGGCTAAAAAATAATCTCTTAAAAAAAAAAACATTTTAGTTACAAATTATTTATCATGACATCCATCAGATTATTTTGTCATGATAGGTACAATGGTGACAAGAGCTCAGATATTGATAATCTAACAGATTTTGGACCTACAGATTGTCGGGTTAGCGAGAATTCAGGATTACAAAGGGCATATGATGCTAGGCCTAGTGATCAGAAAGAAAACAGACAAAAATACCATTATAAATGTATATGATATAGCGACTTTGTTTCGTGACATTTAAAACATTTTGAAGAAAAATATAAGAATCTCTTTCACATTACAGTAGAACCTCTTTAATTCGAACAAATTGGGACCAGGGGTAGTTCGGACTAGTGAATAGTTCGGATTACAGAACATATTGTTGTTTTTACATAACAATAGCTAAAACATGGCTAAAATTGATCTAAATTATTTTGGGAAAAGTGAAAAAATGTTTTATAAATTAAAATACTTACAGTGTTAATTTAATACAGTAGTAAACATGGTGAATAAACAGTACTGTACATTAAATACAGTATACAATAAAGAACTGCTGTACTGTGTATAGAGTACAGCAATGAGGGGTTCGGATTAGTGGACGTTCGGATTAAAGAGGTTCTACTGAACTTGCTTACAGTCGCATGTAGACATAATATAAAAATATAACTCACAAGATAAATAAAACTACACTTGAAAAAAGTGAAGAAAAGTTGGTTATTATCATGTACTCAACATTTAACATTTGTCCGCCTAGTAACAGAACCAATGTCTAAGATATCTTAAAAATGACCTTCATGTGCTATTTGTATTAACAAATAAGTCAGATTAGCTAGTCAGATTATCAAGATCAGACTGTTACATTGTGACTTATTGAAAATAAATAGCTTAGATAAAACTACTAGCAGCACTCTGTTGGTAGGTTGGTGGTGTTGCTGAGTACAATGAGAGGTACTGAATGTCCTCGGAGTCTACAACTCAGAGTCACTCAGTACCTGACACTGGCCTCAGCTGTATCTCACAGGGCCGTCGTCTGCTGATATCCATTGCTGACCATGGTGTTGATACATAAATTACATTTCATTGTTATAATAGTTTTTTTTTACACAATATCATATTATAAATTAATGATACTCCAAAGTCCTAACTGATCCGAACCACAAAGCTGTGTTCTGAAATGACCAGGTTTCCAGCCGACAGAGAAAATCGGGAGTTATGTGTAAATTTTTAAAGTGACCAGGTACAATATGAGAATTTTATATGAATATGTTCATGGAATTAAGAAAAATTGAACAATTGCCAATTCGCTCTCAGCTGAACGCCCATTTATTAACACATTGGGCTTATATGCATGTAAAAGTTACTGGGCATTTTTGTATTAATTAAAATTTGTTTCACCTATTTAGTTTTAATCAAAACAAAGTATCACAAACCATACATCATTTTTAAGAGGAAATCAAGTGCTTTAAGGAAATATAATACCGTATGTTATGGGTATAGATCAAATAAATCCTTATTACCAAATTAAATTTAAAATGTTTTTATTATTTTTTATATATAGGCCTATACTATATTTATATTAGTATATACCTATATATAGTCAACATTTCAGAATAAAGTATTAAAACATAATATTTAATCTATAAATTAAATAGGCAAGCATGTTTCTTTAAAACCTTTTTTCTCAGGTTGTGTGCATCGCAGGGAAAATCTACGCATACTGTTAGACAGATATTTTCCTGTAGATGTGTAGAATCCCTTTGTAAATTAAAATAGGATAAAAAATAAGCACAAAAATGAATTTTAAATTTTAAAAAATAACATAGGCCTTATGGGTTACTATGCTGGTGAACAAAAAATAATCAAGAAAATCAAAACAAATGGAAGACTTCTACACAACCATCACATGTTTAATTTACAGCGTGGGGTGAAAATAGAGAAGTCTGTACATTACATTATTATGGTCAAGTTTTCGACCACTGGACGACCTCTAGTACAATAATAACAAATAACATAATAATACTAGGACTATAATAAAAAATGTAAAACAACCCCGACCTATACTCGGGCATAGGGTTCAATGTGTTAACAATATTTCTTTGTTTCTCTTTTAAGGCTGTAGTGCAGTAAGATCATGATTGCAAGACACAATAACACCGTTGGCAGTGTCATGCAACTATACTGCATTTCCAGCTAATCTGATCAGGGTCTGGTGGTCTGGTCCCAATTGGTTCGGATTAGCGGGACTCTGGCTAACTACTCTTTCTTGCAAAGTTAAACTATTTTATTTTTAAAATAATATTTGTAATGCCAGCCCTCAGCTCTCATAATCATTGCACACAGGGCCGCCCTGCCCCTGGCTGGTCTGTGGGGGAGGTAGGGAGAGGTAGAGGGAGGGGAGAGCTCAACAGTCCTAGTGGGAGTGGAGGGGATGGACTGGAATTCCAAGGACAATACCACAGACCTGCACCGGGTCAGTCCCCCTAGCATGGAGTTTCTCATCATTGGGCTAGACATTCAGTGTAATTTTATAGACTAACAAGCTGTTAACCGCGGGCTCTGCCCCCTCCTTTGACTTCACAAGTATTATTAAAACTATTGATTGCTGTACCGGTTTGGGTGGCATTCCGAAAGGCTTTTCATGGTTTGGACTTAATTAGCTGTCAGGGCAGAGCCCTAGAATAGTAGAGTATTAAAATAAAAGATGATTATGTTCTTTAGGCCAGTGGTTATTTTGGCTCTGCTCATGGAAAATATCAGTTTAATTGGTCAATTGGTTTAGTAGCTTTAATGTTATTGACATACTCCAAAAATTAATTCCTATAGTAGCCTAGTAAGTTCCTTCCATCCAAGTCATCGACTTGATCAGTAAAGCACTAAAATTATTAACACATTAATACGTTTCCCAAAAATTTCTTTGGGGGAAATGAAACACAGTCGATTTGATCAGTAAAGCACTAAAATTATTAACACATTAATACGTTTCCCAAAAATTTCTTTGGGGGAAAAGAAACACAGTAGGTACTTTTTTATAAAAATAGTATGAATTATGCACTTAAAAAACCACCCTATTTGCACAATACCACAAATTATTTATTAAATAAAAAAACATAAATATAACTTTATACCATCATAATTTGACAGTTCTCGTTGTGTATCACAACTTGTTGCTGCTTAGTTCATTTGAATTTTGTAGAAACCCCATAACCATAAAGCATAATTTGTTTGCAGTTTTGTGATTTATGCACCAAACAATGTATTTCAAATTGTACCTACCTCATTAATATAGTAAAAAGTAAAAATTGAAAAAATCTTAGTTAGGCCTATGGGGGTTTCCGCAACTAAAGATTCAAATTAGCTGTTGTTACCTTGTATTTTTATAATGCTATTAAACATCGTAGACTCAACTTCTTTAACTAAAACAGCTGTGAAGATACATTATTCCTTTAAATATGAATACCGGTACCTACTCATAAAGTTAACATGGGAAACTCTAGGCAACTGGGACAGAGCCCGAAAGACTGATCAGAATAAAAACTAGGCCTACTTAGTTTTCCCATTTAGTGCATAAAGAATCAGTGTACAGTAGAACCTCTTTAATCCGAACGTCCACTAATCCGAACCCCTCATTGCTGTACTCTATACACAGTACAGCAGTTCTTTATTGTATACTGTATTTAATATACAGTACTGTTTATTCACCATGTTTACTACTGTATTAAATAAACACTATATTTTACTTTATAAAACATTTTTTCACTTGACCCAAAATAATGTTGATCAATTTTAGCCATGTTTTAGCTATTGTTATGTAAAAACAACAATATGTTCTGTAATCCGAACTATTCAATAGTCCAAACTACCCCTGGTCCCAATTAGTTCGGATTAAAGAGGTTCTACTGTACCAAATTTCAGCCCCTTAGGTAAATGGGAAGTAGGAAAATTAGTTATGAGTGAATCAGTCAGTGAGGGCTTTGCCTTTTAGCGAATTTCCCTATAGGGAAGTAGCTATTACCGTAGGTCTCATGGTAAGACCTAGGCCCGGGACCGATTTACTTTTTCATTTTGATGTCCCCAGAGACCAAAAACACCATCCGTTCAAATTCATATATATTATATATGTAAACCTACGTTTATTCGAACATGTTTGCAATCCAGCATAATCAGACCATGGGAACGGGGGTTTATGGGGGGTTTTATGGCGTAAAAATGGGTTTTCCCATTTTTGACCCTAAAAACAAAAAAAATTTCAATTTATTTTTAAACCGTTTTGTAGAGCTTAAAAACAGAAATAATTTAGTATAATGAAAGCGCTGTTGTATGCCTAACGGTCACGGAGAAAATTCAAAAATAGTTTAATTTAAAATTCCCATGTTATTCTTATGGAGAAAATGAAAACTGTTGTAGTTTACTTGTTTATGGATATATCTTGATAAAATTTGGCAAATTTATTTATTTCATCCTATACTATTAACGTATGGTTAAAAAAACACTTTTTACCTTTCCCGTAGCAGCAAACTTAAGCACACGTTAAATCTAATGTTATTTAAATAGGGAATAAATATGTCTTATTTATGGAAATTAGTAAAAATGTAATCAGACAAGTTGAAATTCGCATAGTCTGCAGGTTGGCTGCGGCGGGGGTATTGTAGGTATATATGAAATTTTGTTATAAAAAACCTTTGAGGAAATTAACTTATTTTTCAATTACTGTACTTCAATTAAATTTTTCTATCAAAGGGGTTGATGTATGTTATATTAGTCTTTTTTGTAATGCCAGCCCTCAGCTCTCATAATCATTGCACACAGGGCCGCCCTGCCCCTGGCTGGTCTGTGGGGGAGGTAGGGAGAGGTAGAGGAAGGGGAGAGCTCAACAGTCCAAGTGGGAGTGGAGGGGATGGACTGGAATTCCAAGGACAATACCACAGACCTGCACTGGGACAGTCCCCCTAGCATGGAGTTTCTCATCATTGGGCTAGAAAGTCAGGGTAATTTTGTAGGCTAATGAAAATTAGTTTAAAAAACAAACTTTCAATCATATATTCAAGGTTTGATCAATTGTTTACAACTTACATCACATTGTTTAACGTCTAATTTTAATTACTTCAACTTTATTATTGGGGATAGTAGAGGAATCGAGTTTAGCAAACCTTCTAGGGAAAATTAAGTCCAGAGAATAAAACACTACACAAAATCTTAATAGAACAGTAATATTTTGCTTTTGGACAGACTTCTTCAAAAGGTTACTCAATAACTTTTTACCTTAAAAAGAATATACATAGTCCTTGCTATACCCTATCCAGATGTGTGCCACTTTGCATAGGCCTATAAGAGATTCACAAAATATTATGAACAAAAAACAGTTACGCCTGGTAAAATTTATTTTAGTTCAAATTTGCCTGAGTAGAGAATAAATTGTTTTAGAAAGGAGTTGTGTTCACCCACACCCTATTATACAGTAGAACCTCTCAACTGAAACTTTGTTAACGTGGCCTAGGAAACGATAACATTGGAATGTGTCTTAAATAAAGAGAGTGAAGTGAGCGAAAGAATGAAGCGTGACAGAGGGTTGGGAATAACACTGTTGGCTGCTACACAGTGCAAACTACAAACACATTACCACCAGCCCCTAGAATGTGATTTACAACATCTAACTGTACTTATAACTCTGATTGCAAGACAGCTGAAGTGTTACTAATAAAGTGATGCTGCTAGAAAATGTATTTACAAATAAATAGTTGATCTACATTCATAAACTTCATAGATTTGTAAATATTATACCTTAATTGTAATTACGTTACCACCTAATTGGCATCACTTTCAATGCTAAATAAACAGCCTTCATTTTTAACAGAAATTTTGTCTATCAAAAGCAATCTTCCATCTTTTATTTTGGTCAAGAGAGGTTCTACTGTATTCATTTCCTTTGTGTGGTTCCAACATCCTAGCAGAATGTGTCTATATACTGTTAATTAGTTAAAGGTATTCGCTAATATTTTGCATTCAATTGAACTTCCACGTAGAAGGAGGATTTTAGTTCTACAGTAAAGTGACAATCGTACAGTGGTGAACGTAAATATTCAAACATCATCATTCATTTAGGAGGGAACAACACCAACCTTTAGTCTGTGTGTGTCTCTTGACACACCACCTGTGTTGTTTGATCTTGTCCACGGTCATGCGCAGGGAAGGTTGCGGATGCAGTATCTTGCGCAGCAGTGTGATAGCCAGGTTGTCCAGCTTGGACCAGGGTGTAGTGGACATGTAGTTACCGTTTTTCCATGTGTCAAACTCCCGACACTTAATCACAGGCTTGTCCCATGGCAACTCTGACAACAAACACTAGTGTAAGATTGTTGCAATCAAGTTTTTTAACATTTTGAGTGATCAAATTTATACAAACACAAACAAGTTCTGATAAAATAGATTGCTGTATGATATCTATAAGGACAAATACATGCATAGGCCAAATAACATAACTGGTGTTATGATTAACCTTATGAGAGATATGCTTTTTAAATGTTAAAAACTATTACAAAAGCTTATCAACCCGATATTTTGAAAATAGTTATAAATAGGATTGCTTCATACAAAGAACTAATGTAAAGTAAGGTAGAACACAATGTTAAATATTTCAATGAATGTGATGATCAAAGAGAACTGTAGGGTTAAAAATAAAGACTGTGCAGCATAGTCATTGAATAGTCATTTATTCAGTCTTTAAACAATACATTATTGTAATTGACATCGTCATTATTATTGTAAAAAGATATAAGATGCAATACTTATAATTGATAAAATTTGACATGAAAATTCCAAAATATAGGCTGCCCTTAGTTTAAACAGGTTTAAAATAATTTTTTTTTTTAAATAGGCAAACTTAACAAACTTAAATTAAGAATAATAGTGAATAATAGTGGGTCTTTCTTAAAAAGGCTAATGGTTATCACAGGTCTAACAATGAACATAGAGGGACAAAATTTCTAACATTAGGCTATCACAGATGGAATATGGTAAAAAACATATCAAAATAGTGTACATAAAAAGTAAACCATTTCTTTACAGAGAATGTAAAGGTTTAAGGGTCAGAATTATTTTATAATAGCTACCTTTCCTGGAAAATGGACTTATCATAAAGATGTCTCAAAACATCAATTTGTATTCTTACTGAAGAACATATATAAAAATAAATCCCAAATAAAATGGCGGTAACTTGCATATTTATTAATTTATTTCACACAGAAACACCATTATTACAATAATATACATTGGCAGATCGCACTGTTTTGCATGAAAATAAAATAACAATAACAAAGTGATTGGAAAAAATACCAACAATTACTATTACAATGAAAAACACTGTACAGTTATTTATTAGGAATTTACAGAGTTAAAAAATTAAGTACTTAGTTATTAAATTTATGTTACCTTTACTGTACACCAGGGGTGCCCATCCCCCCCTAGACTCATGACGCAACCCCCCCCCCCCCAATTGAGCACCAGCCCCCCCACCATAAATGAGAAACATTATTCTCCCGCCCAGCATTATTTGTAAAACTAAAAGAAGTTTTATACATTTTTTTAGATATTGAAAATTCAAACCCAGTTAATCTATATAAATAAAGTTATAGTTTTGTCTGTACGTTGCTCAGAATTATACATATTTTGGGTTATTTTTAAGCTTTATACATTAAAGAAGTAGAAACATGTCTTATCTCAATTTATGTCCGTGTGTCACGGCCCAGAAGGCATTTTACTCAGCTACCAATTATGATTCTAATGGTTTAATTGTATTCACAGGATTGGCGAGGGTGTCCTTAGTCATTAAAATATGGCCTCACAATTTTGGAAATCAAATTAACAGACGATCAAAAACCCAATTTTGTGTGATTTTTTCAAGTTTTTTTTCCATGTTTACTATTAGTCATTTATTAAATACTAATAATCTGTTAAGAGAACACGTCATATATGAAATTATGAACAGCTGTTTTGATAAAGATTCCTTTTTCTAGCTGTCACTGATATGTTTACATAAATATTGTTTACGAATACTGTGTAGGCCCTAACCATTTCCGATCACGTTTTTAAGCAAATCCAAAACCAAGAGAGATTAATAACCGTGTGGCTTACATAACGGGCTTGATTTATCACGGGTACTAATATGTAACTGTAAATTATATTAAATAACTATAGCCATAATCCAGATCGGAAACCGGAGATTCTGCGTGTATCTAGTTGTACTTGAATTTTGATTACCGGGAAAAGACCGTGAATCAGTGTTGTACAGGACTGGAAAACTTATCTTTAGTTTATATATATATATAATTAGAGTTTTATAAGTCACCTCAATTTAAGGAATTTTTTAGTATTGCCAGAATATCTACATAGCGTTCGTAACCTCTGCTTCACGATTTGTCAGCGTCTTTATCTTGATATAACGACCCCCTCCCTCCCACATAATCGTTTTGAAACATTACAGCTCATTTGATGAAAATGAAATGGAAAAATGACTTCAACTTCAACGCTTGCACCAACAATCGTCTGCTCCGTTTTACACTTATGTCTGCTGTGCGCTATGTTACAACAGATTTCAGATACAACAGCTGGGGAATGATGACGATATAATGCTTAGTAAACTGTCATTGAGTGATTAGTAACCATGGTAACTTAAGTAATAAGGCTGTGATTGGGCAATGAGTAGGCCTAAATATAGCGACTTGTTGAATTACTGTAGTGTATGAAGTTCAATCACACATTTACTAATGGACGGATTGGGCTGAAATTTAGCATGATTATAGCTTATATTCCCGATTAACATATAGGTATATTCTTATCCCAAAAATCCTTTCGGGCTCCGCCCCAGTGGCTGTGTCGTTCCCCATGTTAACCTTATGAGTATTCATATTTAAAGGGAATTGAAGAATTTAGTTAGCTGTTCTAACTAAAAAGTTGGTTCTATGATATTCAAAAGTATTAAAAAGTTATAAGATTTACCCAGAGGGTGCAGCACTATTATTATTTCTGCATTTATGAAAACATCTAATTGGAAGCAGCAACAAAAAACTGTGATAGGCAATGAGAACTATTAAAGTAGGATTGTTTACAGTTATGTTAATGTTTTTAATTGCATGAATAATTTGTGATATTTTGAGAATTTTTAATAATTTATTTTTCTCTATCGTTTAGGTGAAGTGGTAGAACATTATGGCTATGGTAGTTGTGTAATACTATGGTATACCGTAAATTTGAAGAAGCAAATTTTATCAAACTGTGTCATCCCCCATTGCAAACGCCAAGTTAGAGAATAACTGCAATAAGCATTTTACACTTATATGCCAACCCCGTACGAAGGACGGGTACTCTGCTAGTAATTATTATTTGTCATAAAATGTGTAGGCTTATGATTATTCAAATTCAAAAGCAAGCAAAATTAATTAATTTTACAGTATATTTACCATGATATAAGTATTTGTTCTATAATTGAAGTTTTTAAGTGGAACTGATGAAAACACAGGATGACTTAACACTAAATATTTTTTATTCATGTTTATGTTGAAAAAATTAACGGTAACTTTTGTGAGAATTTTGTATTTGTCACTTTAAGGTCAGCCAAATTAGGATTAAAGTTTGTTGTCCTGTTTTTAATTCAAAGGTTCACTTAGCTTGGAAAATCTGTATCGAAGCAGATCAAAAATACCTTGGTCACTAGGTACATGCTTACAGCTAATTTTCCCTCATTGGAAAAAAATTAATTCATTGACGGTGTTCCATTGGTACTCTTTTTAACATCATAAGTGAATCACGATCACTGGAGATTATCACTGTATTACTAAAACAGTAAGAGATGTTCACAGTGCAGTTTCGATCGTCTCCCACTTTCACTGAATCGCCTAGACCACAACATTTGCTCACTGGTGTTGCCACGACCGTGAGCACTCTTTTTGTGAGAATAAGGAATGAATAAGTCAAAACGAGAGGAAGTCTACTTAAAAATAATTCTATTAAGTTAACACAAATATTACAATTCATTCAGCAGTTTTTATAAGTGTTTAAATTACACAAAGTTTTGCTTAAACTAAAAGTTTTCTTGTCTTTGCTAGATGCCTGTTGAGAATTGAAAATATTAGATAAAAAAGTACGTCTTAAAAAGTACTATTATCTTTTCAAAATAAGTAGAATCTTACCTATAGTAGTTCTCCAATCATCTGAATCATTTTTACTTTGAATTTTGGTACAAATATAAAATGTTTTCCCATCTGAATCTGTTATGATCCCAATTGATTCGGATAGTTGGAGCTCTACTGAAGTTATCTCATCACGAAAGCTAGTTGAAGATGAGAGGCCAAGTCTTGAGTTAAAGATGAGAGGTCAGGGAGTGTCCAAGTTCATTTTGTGATTTAACCAGTTGAGAGACTTGTTCAGCTGATCTTGTGTACTGTAGCAAGTAACGACAGAACCTGACTTTGGTATGCTAGCTTTAGGCATTGTTATAAATCCTACAGCTAGGATACCAAAGACAAGGCTCCATCATCATCATCATCAGGCTGGGTCCTTGTCCAGGTGTTTTAAGCTGCTGCTGAATCGTTCATTCAACAATACAATACATTGCAATTGACATAAACTTCTTTATGCAAAGATTATAGAAGTTAAATATTTTATATACAAATATAGCACTTAAAGGGCTTTGATGATGAACCTTGTTAAACAATGTGATACACAAACAAAATGCAATTTTGGCATTTTCTACAGCCGGCACTGGCTTAGACCAGACAAAAACAACACTCCTTGTGTTTTAACTAGGCCTGAAGATTTTGTTTATACAAAACAAAAATATTGAATTTTTCCTAACATTGATCGAAACATCGAAGGATAAAAACATTAAAGGCAGAGGTTTACAATGACCTGGTAACTATTCCAGTAAGTACTGTTTAACGTACCTCCAGCCAGCATGGCCACCAAGATGATGCCACAAGACCAGATGTCCACTGGTTCAGCTCTGTATTGAGGCCTTAATAATATTTCAGGTGCCATGTATGGCGTTGTTCCACACTTCTTGTCCAACAATCTCTCCTGCAAACACACCAAATTATTGAATTTACATAGTGTAAACATGTTTAAATATCTTTTATGAAAAAAAGTAAAGCCTGATACTCAACCCAACATTAAAATAACATACAACATTACTTTGACCTAAATCACAAATCCTATATTTTACATAATTAAAAGCAGGGTTTTTTCCTTTCTTTTATCTATCCCAATGTTTTGACCTGCTTGTATTTACCATCCATATCAATTTTTCTCTTCACCAGGAGAAGTGCAAACAAGTTTATTATAGGGATAGACAAGTCTCGAAATCTCGGGAAATTTTAAATCTCATCCTACGAGACGAGATTTTATTTGGATCGAGATTTTCTTTCAAGACAATAAAACGCCTGCAAAAAGTCAGTGCAATACCGGAGCGCGTTGTAGTTGCGTTTCCTTTGCAAAGGCAATTTAATCAATTACTTACATGTAAATATTACTTTAATTGTTTTGATTTTATTGTTTTGACATCACAAATGATGAGATGTATTGTTACCATGTTTTACTACTGTAAACAGCCAAAACAAGTATTTTACAAATTAATATTGCTTTAATTTTAAGATTAGTTTTTTTTATGAGCTGAATTTCAATAATACTTGTTATTTTAATATGTATAGTTAAATAGGTACTTTATGTTACAGTTTTTAAATTAAATGTTCATTCAAAGCAAGGTGCCAACCTAATAGACGGTTTAAAACTGTTGTTTTTTTTTATTGTATTTATGACATGGTGTAAAAGATTTGTGAAAAATAAAGCACTTATTCCTTTCTTTATTTATAGTAGTTATTCCCATCTGTTGGTAAGTGGTAATTGTGTTGAATGAAACTTTAACTATGGAATCCAAAGTTTTTACTGCCAAGCTTGATGTAAAGCTTTCAGTGCTATATAGTTTCACCCAAAAGATCTACAAAAACAATGGAATCAAGGAGAATGGTTGACAATTTATAACAGCAAGCACAAATTTTGAGATGGTGAAATAGGTTATTTATTTTGTTTGTGGCAGGCGATGACAATTCTTTTAGATAGGCCTACAACTTAACACCTAATAAAAAAACAGTGTCATTGTTCAAACAGATGCCTGGTAATCAGAATTCTAAAACATCTTCCTCCCTGTTAATTAATTTTGTCCATGGCTGAAGATATAATCGCGCGCTGCGAGGGTGGTCATAGAAAACGCCCTCATTTTGTATCACGCACGTTTGTTTCTCACGTATCAAAAATCACGGATGACGCAATAACGCTGAGTGGTCAGTAGCTGTAGGCCTACTATTTAAAAATTCAATACTATTTAAAAATTCTAGGTCACCTTGCCTCTGCTTCTGAACACTGTAGCCATTCCAAAGTCAGTAATTTTTAAGTTGTCATGATCGTCCAAAAGCAGGTTTTCAGGTTTCAAATCCCTGTGGACGATTCCTCTTGAATGAAGATACTCCTGAAAATAAAAGAAATACTCCTTTAAACTTAAAATCCAATGTTCCATCTATCATGATTACTGTGTCATCATATTTAGTTTTAAACAAAACTTTGACCTAAAGCTACATATGCCAGCGTAACTCGATAACAGTTGAGGCCATGTAACATGTGCTGCCTACTAACTACTCTGTACTGGTTACACCAGTGTTGCCAGCGCATTTTTCAACAGCTACGTAGCTGGCGATTTCACTCCTCAGCGCCACATTCCAACTGCTTACAGATCAAGATCATATCCATAGTAGAACCTGGAATTGCGTCCTATTCAATATGGTGCGATCCTGCAATTAACTATCCCATAGATGGAGAGTGGTAGCAGTAATAGTGATGAGTAACTGTAGCGGTTTTATTGACATGTCAAATATCTAAATGGATCCATCCAACTAATCGACGAAGAAACAAATTTATTACATAATGAATGATGAGCACAAGTTAAGATCATATTACAGCCTGGAGGGTGACGGTGACAGTCAAGGTCGCTAGTGTGCATGCACGTTTTTGACAAAGCGATCGAGGTGTAGCTAGCTGGCAGTGACGTTGCACCCGTCTTAATATGGCGGTGTGAACATGCTCATTTATTTAACATTAAGAGATATGTCAGAGACGTCTTCCCAAGACGTAGTAAAACGTCTGCCGACGCTGGTATAGCAATACACTAGCAGAATCAGCTTAGTCAAAGCAACTGAATGCAAGGTAACTTACTGTTGTGTATTAAATTAACGGTAGTTGTACAAATTTATTGTATTCCAAAGATAATGTGTTTTACTGACACCAGAAAAGGTAGCGAAGGTTGGTAGTCAGCTTAAATGCAATGCCACCGGCAGGTTATAAATGTATTTAATCTGCTCAATCAGTCTACTTGAGATGTAAATTTCTTTTTAATAGAGAAATGTATCTTTATTTAACTACTTCTGTGGGAGATAATATACTCTGTTGACAGCAATAATAATTATATACTAAAATGATGTACAACACTTGACCCTAAAATGGTCAGGGAAGAACAAAGCTCGGACGAGGACCATTAAGAAAGTAATTATTGATACTTGGTATCGCCACCATCGTTTAGCATCAGAGTATCAGAGTGATCCTGAACTCAGTGCGCATCCAGGCATAGTAGCATCCCCGTATGTCATCTCTCATACTTTGCCTGCAGTGGAATGTTGAAATGAAATGAGCGGTCATTGCACTGTCTCATCAGTTGTGAAAGATTTGTTAGACAAGCCAATTTGTTGTTCACAAGCCAATTGAAATTGTCAGATTCTTTTAGCGAATTTCCCTATAGGGAAGTAGCTATTACCGTAGGTGGCACGGTAAGACCTAGACCCGGGACCGATTTACTTTTTCATTTTGATGTGCCCAGAGGCCAAAAACACCATTCGTTAAAATTTTTATATATGTATATATATATATATAGACATATATATATATATAGACATATATATATATATATATATACGTCCGTGAACGTGATAACTTGAGTAATTTTTGTCCGATTTTGATGAAACTTGGTTTAAAGGTGTAAAGCGGGATAAACTTGAATGAGTTCGCGAACCAGCACGATCGGACCATGGGAACGGGGCTTTACGGGGGGTTTTATGGGGTAAAAATTGGTTTTTCTCATTTTTGACCCTCAAAACACAAAATTTCTTGATTTCTCTTTAGACCTTTTTAAAGAGCTTAAAAAAACAAATAATTTAGTATATAAAAGTATTTTTGTTCGATTATTAGTAACGGAGAAAATTAAAAAAATTGTAAATTTAAAATTCCCAGGTTATTCTTATGGAGAATATTGTCAAATGTTGTAGTTTGCTTGTTTATGGATATATTTTGATCAAACTTGGCAAATTTATTTATTTTGTACTAAGCTATCAATATTTTACTCAAAAACACACTTTATTAGTTTCCTTGTAGCAGCAAACCTAAGTACTCGTTAAACCTAATGTTATTAAAATATATTTAACTGAAAATCAATTCAGACAAATGGAAATTCGCTTAGTCGGCAGGTTTGCTGCAGCGGGGGTATTTGTGATATCACTTCAAAAGGTTTATGAGTGAAGGGTGTGTGCTTTAGTGCTGGGAGGACTTGTCTAGTAACAACAGAATCTGTGAAAATCATCATTTCACAATTTATGGAACTTGCAGAGCCATTTTTCCAAATTCCATGGAGTTTTGTTAGTAAGTTTGTCGCAGAAAACTAGGTTACCAAAAATGTTGAGCCCGATGGGTTTCAAAGATTATAACAGATCACAAAAAATTGAACCTGATTGAAAATTTACCTGTCGACAACATAAAAATTGTTTCTTCTTCTAGTGTAACATATTTAGGAGTAGTCATTGACAGCAATCTGAAGTTTTCCAGTCACATTGACAAAATTCACAATAGACTTAGTACTAGTGCTTTCCTTCTACGTAGGCTCTCCAAGACAGACGAGTCCTTCTGACAGCTTATTATTTTCCTCTTTCTTACATATTGTGTGCCCGTTTGGGGTAACGACAAACTTCAAACTAAGAAAATATTCAAACTGCAAAAAAGAGCCTCAGATTTATCTTCAACCTCAAATATAGAGTCTTGTAGATCTGTTTTTCGTAAAAATAATATGCTGACCTTTCCATCAATTTTCATTTTTGAATCTTTGACCTTTTTAAAAAAATTGACAATGTTTCATATTAGAGTCATCTCACCACAGCTTCAATCTTAGAAGGAACTTTGACCTACCTATTCCACTATCTCGTACCACTTTTCATAAAAACCAATCTTTCTCCATGTGTCTTTTTAATTCTCTCCCAAATACAATCAAGGGTGAACATGATTTAAAAAAATAAGCATGGTCTGAGGGAATATTTCGTTGATAAGGAATTTTACACGGTTTCGTCGTTTTTAAAATGTAAATAGTTTGTTCATTTTGAAGTTTGTAACTTTATTTTAATGGGTCTGATTTTACTTTTAGTGACTTTTGCCCTGTACATTTATGTATTATTATGGCAATATAACATTCTGATTCAGAACCTTGCTGCAGCACTGAAATTCTTGGAAGACAAATATAAAACCCTGTTTCAAACAATTTTACAAGTCAATGCATTGCTGTCTCTCCTTTGATCTTCACTCATCACTCCTTTGCCAAAAACATCACAAATCTAGCAAATTCATTTTAATTGACTTTTGATTTTATACTAACAAAAATCTTATCATAGAGGGCACCTCACAACTGCAGAGTAAAGACAGTGCTAATTTCATTTCAACATTTCACTGCAGACAAAGTACGAGATGACGCATACTGTATGCGTACCAAGTGTAGGAACAGAAGCTAGGATGGCACCAACGTAAAACGTCTGCTTACCAATAAACAGTCATTTATTTTCATAATATGTTATTGATCACATTATGTTATACAGAACCAGCAAAACTGTGAAAAAGGTGAAATCGTAAAACAATAAAAACACAGACCAAACAAACTTCAATAATGTTGTGAACTCTCCAGATAGCTTATAAGCATAGACAAACAGAATAAATATAGACTGTCAAAGGAAGGTTCCTGCGCCCACCGCTAGGTTTGCCGTATAGTTTCGGCGCACACCGCTGCAGGCGAGGAGCGCAGGAGCCGTATGTGTACAGCGGTGTGCGCTATACGCTCAAACTGCGCTCCTCGCCTGCAGCGGTGTGCGCCGTAACTACACGGCAAACCTAGTGGTGGCCGCCAGAACTTGCTAACCGCAGCACAGCTGACGGTCTATATTTATTCTATTTGTCTATGCTATAAGTTAATAATACTGTACTACAGAAGGAAGAACTTAAAACTGTGCATCAATGAAGTGTAACTTACCACTCCTGATATTAACTGCTTCATATACTTTTGTGCCTCCCAAGCTTCCATACCAATGTCTGGTTCTAAGATAGAAACAAATAAAACAACAAAATAAAAAACTACCAATTACAAAATTGTAAATAAAAAAAAACAAAAATTAATAGAGAAAATATAAAATTAACAGTTTTAACAATAAATGTTTTTAATTTGCTGACAACCATAAGGTAAACAAATTTCTGAACACAAAAAATCATTTAAACAATAGTAGGCCTAGAAATAGATCATGCATAATTCTTGAAATAAATTACCTATTTTGTCAAAAAGCTCTCCCCCAGGTGCATATTCCAGGAAGATGTATCCAATGGAGCCCTCTGTTCTCTGACCATAATATCTGATCACGTGAGAATCATTTAACATCTTATGGATTGCAATTTCTTTTTGGACGTTTTCTTTGGCCTCAGGATGTTCTTCGAGGTTGATTATTTTCATAGCTACCATGTTGCCATCGTTTTTATTCATTAATAATTTCACTCTGTAACAAAACAAAGTTTATTTAATTAAATAGTATGCGTACAAGCAAAACCTGACTCGGAATCTGAAACCAGAATGAAGAATTAATTCCGGTACCAAGCAGGTGCCTGCGCGCGGGCTCGGAAACCGGCAGCCACTACGGCCACTTCCATTTGAATGCAAGTGCCATTCCTTCCGTCGAAAATATGAATCTGAATCGGCGTGCACTCTGGACGTACCGTAAGATCACGCTTGTAGTCCGATTTTGATGAAATTTAGTATGTAGGTACTAATCCATAAAATCTCCAGGCGTTTTTTCATTTTTCAAAATTTTGATTTTTAATGGAGATTTTTCCATAAAAACCGAAAAAATAAGTAGCCTATGTCCTTTAAATTCTGAACAAAATGTTACAAATTCCATATACGTAAAACTAATGGTTCTAAAGTTATTGTAACTTAAATGTTATTTCCCCATAAAAACCCGATAAAATGACCAACAATTTGATTTACGAAAAAGCCGATTCCGATTAAAATTAGTGTGTTATGGTCCTTTAAATTTTGAACAAAATGGTAAAAATCATCCCATATTTGTAAAAATTACGGTTCAAAAGTTATTGTAACTTGTGTTATTTTCCATAAGAAAGTAAAATAACAAAAACAGGATTTTAGGGAAAAAACCTGTTTTGATTAAAATTAATGTGTTGTATATAATCCTTGTAATTCTCAACAAAATAGTACAACCCTCCGTCCCTCCACGGCTGTAACAATTACGGTTCAAAAGTATTGCAATTTTTTAAATTTTTTGTGTTAAGTGTTTGGAGAAAAAGTGGATGGCATTTAAAACTGTACTTATAGACGTAGCAAAAAGAATTTGTGGAGAATCAAGATTGGGTACCTTTAGGAAACCGACTAGTTGGTGGAATGATGAAATTAAAGAAGAAATCAAAAAGAAAAAGGTTCTATGGAAGAAATACTTAAGTACAAAGAAAATCGAGGATTACGAAGAATACAGAGGAACAAAGAAAAAGGGCAAAGGACCTCGTTAAGGCTGCCAAGGAAGAATCGTGGGAGGACTTTGGGAGGAAGATGGAAGAAAACCATACTGAAAATCAAAAGCTATTTTACAAAACTCTTAAAAACATGAGGAAAGAGAAAGCGTGCCCATTAAAACACATTAAGGACAAGGAAGGAACTATCCTGAGTAGTGATGAAGAAATAATGAAAAGATGGAAGGAACATTTTGAAGATTTGTTGAATTGTGAACAGGAAGAGACAGAGGAGCCAGAGGGTACAGCTGTGGGTGACAGAGCCCAACTGGAAATCCCAGAATACATCACTGTCGTAGAACTACAAAACTCAATTAAGAAGCTAAGGAATGGTAAAGCAGCAGGACATGACTCGATATACCCAGAAATGCTCAAAAGCATGGGACCAATAACTTCAAATATCTTTTTGGATATATTGAATTGTGCGTGGACAACCAAATCAGTTCCTGTAGACTGGGAAATTGCTGTCATAATCCCGATCTTCAAGAAAGGGGATAACAGGGAGTGCAGTAATCACCGCGGTATATCACTCCTTTCAGTGGCAGGGAAAGTGTATTCCAGAATCCTAGAATCAAGACTTAGAGTGCAGGTGGAAGACAAAATGGAAGAGTTTCAAAGTGGGTTCAGACCCAACAGATGTACCCAGGATTTAATATTCACCATGCGCATCCTCAGTGAAAAGATGGTTGAGAAGGGAAAAGATTTCCATGCCGGTTTTATTGATTTAAGCCAGGCGTTTGATAGAGTGCCGAGGAATGAAATTTGGAGAGTTTTGGCAAAGCTGCAGGTTAAAAATGAATTGATACAGGCGATCAAGAGCTTATATAGCAACTGCAAAAACTATGTTAGAACTTGCAATAAAGTCAACTGAATTTATCACAAAGCAAGGGGTTAGGCAAGGAGATAATTTGAGCCCTCTTCTTTTTATTCTACTGCTGGACGAAATAATGAAAAACGTGAAAGCTAAAACTAAAAGTCTTGTGGTGGGAAACTATCAATTAAGGGCTGTTAAAATTTGCAGCCTAGCTTTTGCAGACGACATAGTGGTTTTGGGAAAAAACGAGGAAAGTTTGCAGCATAATATGAAAATATGGGCAGATGAGCTGTCAAAAAAAGGTATGAAAATAAATGCAAACAAAACCCAAACCATGGTCATCAGTGGGAAAAAGGCCAACCATCAAATCTCAGTAGGAAATAGCCCCTTGAAACAGGTATCAACATTTAAATATTTAGGCTCAGTTATCGCAGAAAACGGAAAAATAGAAGAAGAAATAAACGGAAGGGTTGCAGCAGCAAGTCGCCTCTTTTGGTGCATAAGAAACCAATTTCTAGGCAAGAAAGAAATCTCAAAGAAAACCAAATTAGCAGTCTATAAATCTACCGTCGTGCCTACATTGACCTACGGATGTGAATCCTGGACTTTGACCAAAAGACTCAAAAACAAGCTCCAGTTAATGGAGATGAGGTATCTTAGGAAAGTAGAGAACAAAACTAGAAGGGATAGGATAAGGAATGTTGCGATAAGAAACACTTTAGATGTTAAGCCCTTAAGTACCACAATACAGGAACAGCAACTAAAGTGGTTTGGGCATGTTCATCGTATGCCCACAACTCGCCTTCCGAAGATGATGAAAGAGGTCAAAGTCGAGGGAAAGTGCAAAAGAGGTAGACCGAGAAGGAAATGGGAGGATGAGATATAAGATGCTCTGCGTGAGAGGGGCAGCTCCATTCGTGAAGCTCTACCACTCACTGCAGATAGAAAGTCATGGAGGCGCCTTGTAACCTCGACACCAACCGGTAGAAGAGGACAGGATTAAGTAAGTAAGTTACTCCCACCGTTTACCCATGATAAAGGTTGTTGACAAGCTTTGTATCGGGCTAAATATGTATGGGGGTTAAATATTCGTAATTATTATTACCACGAGAATTAAACAGCCAAATACACAGGCTGTTGGAGAAGCCTAGTCACGACACTAAACTGACATCATACCTATCCCAAATTCCAAGTCCGCAGACAACGTCAGTGTCAGTTGGTTGTTTGACGACTTTTGGGACAGGCTTTGGGAGGAAAAAGGTGGGCAAGCCCCCTTCTAAGTGGTTACACGGGGGGCTATAAAGCTTTTTGAAGCTGTCATGCGCCTGCCTTCGCTGCCGGGATTTTTTCTGTTTTCTGTAACTCGTTGACCGAGGGATTGAACCTTCGCCTCTTGTGACATAGGTGAAGTGGACTGTCATTCTCATTTTTGTCCCAGCTGAAATTCAACGTGAACGCTTTTTGAAGTTTGTCGTCGTCGTTACGATAATATGTTTTGCAAGCTCTGCAAGTTTGGAAGTTGAAATCTAAAGTTTGGTGGTGCATTGTGTGCGCGTAAAATCGTTTTAGAATATTATTGCTTTGTTTGGTAAGTTGTGTAATAAATTTAAACTTCTCAAATACTTCTCCGTCAGTTTTGTTTCAGCAAACTTTGCTGAAGTTTGCATGCTAGGCCTGACTCCCAGCCCTAGCCGTAAGACATTTTAACCAACCAATTTAGTAAAGCATCGTAGTTGGTGACTTACTGTTTTGATAAGCCTACGCCTTGAAATTTATTTGGGGACTTTCTTTTAAGAAATAAATCTGTTTTAAAGTTCCCTTAACGTCCCAAAGTTTGCCCCAGCAGACAGGTTTCTGCTTGATAAATATTGCAGAAGTTTGCTTGAGTTGCCAAATTGAGTAGGTAGAAGTTTCAGTTTTTGTTTTAGGCTCAAGGAGCAGATTTATTTTTCGTTTAAGTTTTTCTCGTTTATTTTCACACAGACAACTTAAGCCAGCTTGTTTCTTTTTTTTTGGTAAATTGGGACTTTGTGGGAATAAGGCTAGGCTAGGCCTAGCTCAAGCTAACCTTTGTCTGTTTCAGGTTAACTCTTGTACCTTAACTCTGTAGGTAAGCGGGGTGACTACTTAGTTTACTTGTTGTCTAGTTAAGTAGCTAGTAGAGTGTCAAGTCAAAATTAAAGGTTCCCCACAAACTCCCCTGACTAGAGTGGTGATTATACTAAGTGTGGTGTCTGGTAACCCGCTATGTTCGTCCCGAGCTCCGATAACCAAGGCTGTAAATCTGACGCTTCACTACAGTAAATCATCGCCAAAAAAGAGGTAAAACTCAAGGTAAATCATCACTAAGGTAAAATGCTTTAAAGTTAATTCATCAAATTTAAATCAGTACAGATAGCTATCACTTTAAACAAAGCCTATGCCTATAAAAAAATGGGATCCCCCAGAATTAGCCTTGTAAATCAAACACCAAACTAACTAGCCTAGATTTAAAGGTAAAACTTTATTTAACATTTATAACTTACTCTCCATAAGCTCCTTCTCCAAGGGTGTGCATAATAGTCCAGTCACTTACAAAATCCATTTCTGGTACTGAACACAAGTTTCATGCAGTAAATAAGCAATGTTCAGGTATTATCCTGAAAAATAAAAATAAAACCAAATTAAGATGATTATTATTTATTCATTTCTTATTACGCAGGTAAACAAAACATAATTTGTAGGCCCTAACTGTAGAGCTCTCCATTTCTAGAAGAAACTGATTTGTCAAATAAATTTCACAGTTACTTTAGGGTGGGGGAGGGGGGGGGTACTTGCAGTCATTATTTAGTACTGTATTCATTATTTAGTACTGTATTAAGTTTCTTAAAATATGTTTATTTTCTTCTTCACCACTTACAATTTCAGGGTGGCTAGTGAAATCACATTGAAAAATTCCCTGACAATTCCATGATTTTTTGAAACTTTCCCTGATCGAAAAATTCAAAATTACAATTTTAATACTAACTAATTCTTCAAAAGGACTAATCTTTTGCTGAAGAATATCTTATGTTTGTTTATATGAAAAACATACATAAAATCTATAGATACAGGCTAGCTTATATTCAAACTTTGCAACTTACCTTAATAAAATTAAACTGAGTTTGATAAGATGATTACGCAGTTTATAGCAAAATTTAATTTGTACAAAAATACAAAATTTAGTTGTACATACATATTTCTTAGTTTTCACCCACATGGCACATGTACTCTCACCAGATCGACCTTTCCTAACAATTATTAAAATTATTTAATAACTTCTTGATCAGCATTGTACGTGTTATTAAATTTACGGAAAGTAAATAAAAGAAACGTCTTATAACACTTAAAACATATATTTACCGCTTATACGGTTACTCACAAGACGGTAAATATACAAAAAAAGAAGGTAAGTGGTGATCAATTTATTATTCTATTATTTATCATTCTATATAGGCCTAATATCCTATCCTAGGAACAAGGAGAGGTATTAAGTAAGTTGATCAATGAACAAATACATTTTGATTCTAGTTGTACTTATAAAAATGTATTTGCCGGTGCTTCCGGTAGCCAATAGGGTATAAGTAGGGACGCCATTAAGATTCTTGTCATTCGCCTATTGGGTCTGATGATTGGAGTGTCCAATCGAAATCGATCACCACTTACCATCTTTTTTGTATATTTACCGTCTTGTGAGTAATAGTATAAGCTTAAATATATGTTTTAAGTGTTATAAGACGTTTCTTTTATTTACTTTCCGTAAAATTATTTTAAGCCTTTTACAATTTTCCCTGACTTATGACAAAATTCTCTGACTTTTCCATGACTTTTCCAAAAGTTTAATATTCCTGACATTTCCAGGTTTTCCAGGTCACTAGCCGGTCCTCAAAAATACAAAAACGGCTAAAAAATTAGGCCTATGTTTTGAACGTGGTGTAATGCGTCCTTAGGCCTGCTCTATCATTAAATATTGATGATGACTTTTTGAGGATTGATTAATGACAAAGAAATAATTTATTTGTCATTAATCAATCCTCAAAAAGTCATCCTTAATATTTAATGATATAACAGGCCTAAGGATGCATTACTTCAATATAATTTTTGAGCTGTTTCACGAAATCCCATATATAATAAAATAGCTTTACGTATTAATATAGGTACTGTATATATATAGATTTGACTGTTGCACAACATCCAAATCTCACCATGTCCAAAAGTACAGTACCTACTCAAGTTCTTGAGTGCAATAAATCTAGTAAGATATAATTTTAGTGGAATATATTCAGTGCACTAGAATGTGTGGTGTATTGAAAATGATGTTTAGATGGAATGATCCAAATCAATATTGTTTATTGTTAGTATAATGATTAGATAAGTCTGTTTTGTCTTTTGGTAATACTGTATTAAGGAAGTCATATTGTTCTTATCATGATAAAAAATGCATTTAACCCTTTTAAAAATTTATAAAAAATTAATATTTTTCCTCAAAATACTTACAAGCGTTAGACAAACATTATAATATACGGATCAATCAATTCCTTAGCGAGTGTTGGACGTATAGGCTAGGCCTATATAAATTACGCCAGAACAATTATGGTCATAAAACTTAAGTTGTCTAAGCTTAATCAACTTAACCGAAAAACATTGAAACTTCAAATCAATTTTCAACCCCAACAAAATTATTGATCGTAGTGAGTAGAGCTTTGCCCTACAGCCACGCTCGGGAAGGGTAATAGGCCTGAGTGTTTTGAGCAAAACATTGCTGGGTGTTAAAGTGGCCTAATGCACTATTTTGTCTCTGCAGTTACCGCTGACTAACTTAGCCCACATGTGACTTATACTGAATGGTATAAACACCCCAAAGCAGCACTTTTAAACTTACTGCAACACTTAGTAACAAAGAATTTTTAGCGGGCTTATGCGGTGTAAGAAGTGTGTAAATTAACTGTTTTAATGAATATATGGAAATTAAATAAGAGTTCAAACGCACGTATCGGTTTGAATACGCCTACAATTAATAAATTGAATAGTTTTGGTAATCCTAACTTATGCGTTCTTCCTCTCAATCGATGCACCAAATATTGACGTCACAGCTTTCGTTTAAGTAGGCCTAATGCATGACATTTTGTAGGACTTAGTATTAGTTGTGACGAGGAAGGTGATTGGACAAGACGACGAAACTGACGTTAGAAGTGAGAATGTGAGTGACAATGAAGATAACACTTCATTTGTTGTTCATTGTTTGTAACACTTTTTGTTTCAGGAAAGCTGTGAGGTACACGGAAAACACTACCGCCACGGGGTAAGTGTAAGAAATGGAAATGTGGCCCTAACTTAGCCTGTGAAAGTGAATAATTAAGAATAAAAAATAAAATTTAAAACAACTAAGTTTAGCCTAGTTCAAAATGGATAGGTTGGGCTTTTAAGCCCTCACAATCTTTCTGCAATAATGTCACACTGTCACCCATAATAATTCTGCTTTGGGGTTTGGGCCTACTTCACTGTAGCCTATATTTAATCTAACCCTTTGCGATCGGAATGAATATTTGCCGATATTCCTCAGCGATCGTGCGGCCAGCTCTACTGATTACCGCCATTAGAACGGAAGTCAGATTTTTCCCACAGCAGTTGTATCTTGCAATTATACGGCCAGCAGGGCTGGCCAACATGAAATCCGACGAACGCTCAGGCGTCCAGCAGGACTGGCCGACAACAATGTTATTGTTTGTATCCAAACTGACTGGTATGATGCCTGTAGATTGGCAGGATTGCAACATTATATTGTAAAAATAGTGGTGGAAACAACTAAAAAAACACCAACTGACCACCTGTTGTTCTTGCTAAAGTGTGTCATAAGTTAATCATCTGTATTAGTTCAGCTTTTTTACGTGATTTTAATTAAGTTTTGGCGATTTTCTCTAGAGATTTTTGTTTATCTGTAGTTTAAATAAGGTTTTAGTGTACATTTGAGGTGATTAACCACTTGTACATTTACGTATAGGCCTACACTTTTATCATAATTAAGTTAAGCCATACTTACAATAAAACTGATTTATCTCGTCTTTAGAAACATTTAGTAGGCTAGTTAGAATGGGATTATGTTTGATTTTATTCCAGTATATATATTTTACTTAAGTAATAATGGACGATCTTTTAAGATCAGACGAATTGAGAGACTTGTTATACTGATGAATAAGATAGGCTACCACAAAAGCTATGTTAAGTGTTTTTTGTATACCTTGTCTGTATTACGGAACTTATATACTGCTTATGTTATACTAGCAGAGTACCCGTCCTTTGTACGGGGTTGGCATATGCATTAAAATGCTTTTTGCAGTTATATGGGAGAGGACATGATTTAAGAAAATTTGGTTCTTTTAATTTATAAGGAATGCTATATAATATAACACATCTACCATAGCCATAATGTTCTGCCAGCTGCACCTAAACCAAGGAAAAAAGTTAAGTTCTCATCGTGTACCACAGCTTTTTGGTGCTAGTTGGTTCAAATTAGCTGTTGTCATAAATGCAAAAAAATAATAGGCCTAGTGCTGCATCCTGTTAAACCTTAGAGCTTTTTAATATCATAGAACCAACTCGTGCAGTAAACACAGCTGACAAAATTCTTTGAATCCTTTTAGGTATGAACTAGTAGGTATGCCTGTTGCTCGAATTCAAGCAATTGCGAAGTAAGTTAAGGCGTTATTTTAAAACTAGGCCTAATAACAGTAATAATTTCTGATGACTTTAAAAGAGTAGACTCAAAGATTATGGAAATACTAATGATGTACATAGCAGATCGATATAACATTTCTTATAGGCCTAAATATCTTATCATTTTTCAAAAGCTGATCTTGTTTTTAAGTGTTTTCTACAAATATTTCCTAATTAGAAGATAGATTATAGCCGCATTAAGGTAGGTAATATAAGTTTGGAGTAGCAAAAAAATATAAGCCTTTGGAGTAGCAATTTAGCGAACGATGTCCGTGACTTATTGTTGCTCTCTGGACAGACGACAGTTGTAAACAAACATGGATCGTGCGGGCGAGTGTCTAGACGATGATGATATTGAAAATCTATTAGAAGATGATAGTTTGAGTGTAGTTAGTGGTTATAGTGTCGGAAATTATGAAACTATAATTGAAAATGATAGTAACGTAACGCAAGTGAAAGTGATGAAAATGAAGAAGTGATTGATGGTGTTGAAATCGAACGTGGAGCTGGTGACACAATTGGTGTTGGTGTAGACTCTGATTTTGTTTATGATTTCGATGATAATATTGATTTCAATAATCATGATTTGAATATACAACAAACTGCAAATAGAAGTATTATTTTTTAAGCTAATGAGCCATTTTTATCTACAGATGACATTGGTGCAGATGCACAAAACAGTCAGGTAACCGTTGTAGCTGTAGGCCTAGGTTTGGAGATTGAAAACCACTCACCTGAAAAAACAATTTCGCCTAGTAAAGATCTACAACAACATGATTCAAGTGAACATTTAGATTTCGTATTCGGTGATGGGCCGGGATTTGAAGAAATTAGGCCATGTAGCAGTAGGGGAAGTGGTAGACCTATATGTCGCGGTAGGCCTATATGTCGTGGTAGGCCTAGATCT